ACGTAACGTAACGTAACGGAGCGGAAAGAAAACGGAATGCGAGACACCCATTGGCCTCGGATTTATTGGGGGTTAATAAGCGTTCGGTAGGACATATGACTATTAAAAAGGAAGTTCAGAGAGCAAACGAAACGAATCGAATCGTATCGTAACGTAACGTAACGTAACGTAACGGAGCGGAAAGAAAACGGAATTAGGACATATGACTATTAAAAGCCGTCTGCCAAAACAACCTTCAAATTTCAATTCATCCTCCCCCCACCTTTCGCCCCCCTCCTTTCAGCCCCCAACCCACCATCTACATAGCCGGAGATTACCAAATTAGGAAAGTTGGAGAGCTATATACAAGTCGCAAGCTTCCCCTGCCACCCTCCTACAAAAGACATCGCGAGCGAGTTTAGTGAAGAAAAAAAAACAATAATAATAAATATAAATATATATATATATATCATATAAATCGTCACAAACAGATACATATATATATTGTCACATAATAGATATAGATATACATATATATCATCACATGAATATGAGTGAGAGCGCAAAAGCGAAAAAAAAAAGAAAAAAAATAATTTCATTTATTTTAAATCTTCCTTACAAGACTCCCCCTGTTCAGAAGCTCTTGCGTACAAGGCCGCCCACGTGGATGTAGGTTGAGCGGCGTCTACCCCCACCCCCGTGTGTCATATCGACCCACTTGCACACAGCCAAAAGGCACTATATATATTGTCACATGATATCAGAGCGCCAAAGCGAAAAAACAGAATATATATATATATGCCTGCGTGCGTACGAAGATAAATTCATAAAGAACAAGAAAAAAAAAACAAAAAAGCAATAAGACAAGACAGGACCGCAACTTTTTTTTTCCCCCCACTCACCTTAGGGCTGCCTCCATATCTCAGAAGAAAAACATGAAACCGAAGACAAAAGCTGCTGCTTTTCGGACTGGGCGATGTGCACACGGAAGCTGCCATTGAAAAAGCTTTGACGTCGAGAGATTGATTCATCTTCTTCCTCCCCTCTTTTTTCCCTCTTCCCCTCCATCTCCCCAAATCAGGGCCATCTTCAATCAGCGCCTATTCATACCAGGATGTTAGGGTAGGGCAGTCGAACGAAGAACAACTTTTACTTCAACCCTTCCGAGTTCAAGTGGGGTGTCGAACGAGGCCGTAAAATCTCTTCTTCGAGCCACGAAAAAGCACACACACACAGTCCTTCGGGACATCCGTTAAAATTGGAACGATACAGAGAAGTGTTAATTAGCATGGCCCCTGCGCAAGGATGACACGCATGAATAGAGAAATGGTCCAAATCAAAAAAAAAAAAAAAAAAAAAAAAAAAAAAAAAAAAAAAAACGAAAAAAAAAAAAGAAAAAAAAAAAAAAAAAAAAAAAAAGCACACACACATCTGCCAGCGTGAACATCCGTATACACACACAATTGGGGTTCGAACCCTCGACCTTCTAAACTGGCAAATGCAAGTGTTTTGTGAGTCCAAGGGGGACACGTTTGGGGCCCAAAAGGGTGTTCGAACCCTCCTCCCCATTCATTATTAGTCCGAGGTAAAAACACACGATAAACACTTCAGGTTCGAACCCTTGACCGGGGATTGTCAATGGAAGCGAGTTAGGGCCCCCACCTCGCTCCACTACTCTCGACATGCACGAAAGACAAAAATAAAAGTCATGCCGGTGCATCTTTCCATGTTCTAGCGGAAGATTCACTCTCGTTTTGCGCATTTCGAAAGTAGTAGTTCACCGAGACCCTTAGTCCGCGGTCGACACACGATACACACTTCGGGGTTTCCAACCCTTTTAACCGGCCAGGTTCGAACCCTTTTAACCTTTTAACCGGCCAGGTTCGAACCCTTTTAACCTTTTAACCGGCCAGGTTCGAACCCTTTTAACCGGCCACATTGCAAATGCAAGTGTTTGTCAGTCCTCGATGGACACACGATACGCACTTCGGGGGTTCCAACCCTTTTAACCGGCGACGGCAAATGCCAGTGTGGCGTTAGCCCGCGGTGGACACACGCTACAGGCCAACAGCACAACAGAATAGATTGGGGAAAGGGAAAGACGTTGACCAATCGAATAAATAAAGAAACAATAACCTCTTCGGAAAAAGAAAGAAAAAATTGATTAAAAAAATCCTGGCTGGGAATCGGAGAAGAGGACAGTGTCTCAAAAAGGGAGGGGGGGAGGAGGGGGGGGCACAACAAGAAGAACGAGAGAACACGCCCCACTGCGCAACACTCTACATGCATCTGGAGCCCCTACTACTGGTCCAATTCATTCGAAATGTTCGAGCAGTCCAAATGAATCTGGCCTTCCTTTTACTGCGACATACATGTCTAGTGTTGTGCACTGGAGCGAGGCCCAATAACCCAATTGACAATCCACGAACTCTTGACAGAGGACAGAGGACACACAGAATCTGCTGCCGTACGTAGCAGATCCTGATGACGCAGAACAGCTACTCTCTCTCTCTCTCTCTCTCTCTCTCTCTCTCTCTCACACACACACACACACACACACACTCTCACTCAAGGTCACACACACTCGCACCCACCCACACACTGAAGGTCACACATACACACACACCCCTACACCCACCTCTCTCTCTCTCTCTCTCTCTCACACACACACACACACCCCACTCAAAAGGTAGATTGCAGTGATAGAGAGAGAAGCGAGATGTCAGCGCGTTTTGGGAAAGAGAGGGTGCGGAAGGGGAGAAGAGGCTCTCGCTTCACCACTGTCAAAATGCGAGAACCACAAAAAAAAATGACGGGTACATATTTTCACCTTCTCGGATAAGACACACGAGCAACTTCACACATTTGGTGAGTAATGCCGCGAGGCTCGAAAGCCGACGAGAGGACGTGGGCCTTGCTACGGCGCTTAGGGCACAGACAGCGACCGATAAGCGACCGACAAAGCCGCGCAGAGACAGGAACGAGAAGGACTGTTAAAGAAACGATAAAAAAAAGACGAAAGAATAGCCAGCCCCAAAAAACAGTGCGAAGCAGAAAGAAAAGGCGGGGAATGTCTCAAAAAACGTTGAAAAAAAAACGAAGGAAAACCAGAACCATCACTAAAATGAACTGGCAAAACAGGAAAAACCGAAAACCAGAACTGGCAAAATTGACTGGTTAGAGGATAAACCACGTCAACCCGAAGATGAGGACGGGCAGATAGACACCAAGAGAGGGAGAGAGAGAGAGAGAGAGAGAGAGAGAGAGAGAGAGAGTCGACTTCGTAAACCAGATACTATTCCTCAATATACGCTCAAACTCCCAGGTCCACATACAAATTCAGAGAGAGAGAGAGAGAGAGAGAGAGAGAGAGAGACAGACAAAAAGAATTCCATTTATAAATCAGACCGTCTTTGTCAAAATACTCTCCAACTCCGAGCTCCACAGAGACAGAGACAGACAGAAAAGAGTTCGCTTCATAAATCAAATTCTCTTTGTCAAAACACTCTCCACGTGAGAAACCAAGGGACGGAACACGGAGGAAAAATGTACGGTTGCCACGTGTCTCGAGCAACGAAAACCTTTTAAGACCAATATATACCGTTCGCCCGAAGAAAAACCGCGCCGTAGGTTTTCGCTACAGCTACTTTAAAAATCACCAAGATAAGAAAAATGAATGATCGCTGGGTCAATCAAAACACTATCTTGCACCCATGAAGCCATGTTCATCGGCTGCCACTTCTCCTCCTCCTCCTCCTCCTCCTCCTCCTCCTCCCCTTCGCAACGACTATCATGACACAGCCACCTCATCTTTGACCAACACACCGGTGCTTTCCCCCATTCCTTTCTCCTCCACCCAATCCACCCTCCCTCCCTCCCCCCCCCTTCCGTCCATCACAGGACTCCCTCCCTTCTGAAGGCGAGCCCTTCCTAATCATCGCTTTTGCGAATCCCCACCCGTCAGCGCCTCTCTCTCTCTCTCTCTCTCTCTCTCTCTCTCTCTCGCTCAAAGGCGAGCCCTTCCTAATCATCGCTTTTGCGAATCGTCACCCGTCAGTCTCTCTCTCTCTCTCTCTCTCTCTCTCTCTCTCTCTCTCTCTCTCTCTCTGTCTGTGTGTGTGTGTGTCTGTCTGTGTGCGGCTCCGCGAAGGCGCATTCCAGGAACCCTACCGAGAGAGTTCAACAAACATACGCGCCCTACCTCCCTCGTCGCATCACTGCTCCATTTACGGCCAAGCGTTCCTCCACCCGCCGCCTCGCGTTCATCGCGTCTTCCGTTGCTTTTGCAGGAGAAAGGCCAACCGAGTGAAAGCACATTACTGCGAGCGATGACATCGTAAAACCCCTGCTCCTGCACACTAACCACTCCATGCAATTCGCGGCACCCACCTACCCACCCATGAGCAACCCCTAACTTCCTCCTCCCCATAGTAGCTGTTCCCGCCGTTACGCTGCCAAATAGGGAATGTCACCCTGCTGCCAAATAAGGAATGTCACCCTGCTGCCAAATAAGGAATGTCACCCTGCTGCCAAATAAGGAATGTAACCCTACTAAACCGACTCCTTTCCTCCTCCCTCCTTCCCTGCCCCCCCCCTCCACCGCACCCGCCCCGCGTGCAGCGTTCAGTTTGCATCAGCTGCAGCTTGCATGGTTCTCTTTGACCGTTCAAATCCCCCCCCCGCAAACAGCCAGCTCCAGTTGCTCTGTCCTTTCCCTTATCTCCTCCTCCCTTCCCTCTGCCTCTTCCCTTTTCTCTTCCCTTCCCTCTCCCCCCTGACCTTCACTCTCTCGCTCACACACACAGACTGCCACGCTGCTATCCGTGAGACTAAGTCAGAGCTCGCCATAGCGGTTTCACCTTTGACCAAGCCCTGTCTCTTATACACATCTAGATGTGTATAAGAGACAGGAGAGAGAGAGAGAGAGAGAGAGAGAGAGAGAGAGAGAGAGAGAGAGAGAGAGAACAAAACCCTCAGGAAGAGGTGGGGCTGATGATGGAAAGTAGAGAGCCCAGCTCTTGGGGGAACAAAACCCTCAAGAAGAGGTGGGGCTGATGATGGAAAATAGAGAGCCCAGCTCGTGGGGGAACAAAATCCACAGGAAGGGGTGGGACGGATGATGGGGGATGATAGGATGGGGCGGAGTTTTTCATTGATAGGATGAGCAACGCACCGGCCAACAGGTAAGTCTCCAACCCCGCAATTGGCGTCACGTTACTTCCATCGGTAGGATGAGCAAAATCGAATGAATCTTCCGCTAGAACATTGAAATATACACTACTACTACGGGCAGTGTATATGTCCATGTTCTAGCAGTAGATCCGTTCGATTTTGCTCATCCTATCGATGGAAGTACACTCTCTCTCTCTCTCTCTCTCTCTCTCTCTCTCTCACACACACACACACACACACACACACACAGTCTCCCAGGCCAGTGTTTACGAGACTAAGAAGAAGAACTGGCCGTCGTCGTTTGACCCTGACTCTTATTGGCCAACAGGACAAGCCCCGCTACGATCGCCAAGCCCGCGACAATAATAGCAATAATCATCCACAACTGCTGATTACCTGAGCCCTTCCTGGAGGCGGCGGCGGCGGCATCTTTCGCTCTCAACATGAGCTCTCTCTTCTTCTGCAGGGCCTCCTTCCGGGCCGCCTCCGAGGTTAACTTCTTTGAGCGACCTGCAGAAGCGGCACTACCACCTGCGGCACTACTGGCCAGCTCAGCAACTTTGCCGCCGGCTAGCCCTCGAGAGACGACGACCGCTTCCCCCCCTTCTCCGCCGTCCGCTGCCGCGGCATCCTCTCCTTCCGCTTTTTCCTCTTCACCGTCCGCTTGGCCCGCTGCGGCAGCAGACGCAGCGCGCTTGCGCGCCTTCCTAAGCCTTTCCTTTTCCTTCTTTTTGGCTAGCTCCTCCTCCTCCCTCGCCTTTCGCGCCCGCGCTCTGGCCTCCGCCCTCTCCGCCATCTTCTTCTTCCTCTCCTCCGCTTCCCTCGCTTTCTCCATCTCCTCTTTCCGACGCTTCTCGCGCAAAGCCTCGCGCACGGCTGGGTCCTCCTCCGCCTCATTGGCTTCTTTAAACCCTCCGTTGGCTAATGCCGCCGCCGGCGCAGCAGACTCTTCCCCGACGCCCCCACCACCACCTCCTCGCTTGCTCGAAATCACCATCTGATCCCCCGCGGACTCCTTCGCCGCCCCTCCCTTCACGCCCCCGCCCTTCTTCACCCCACCCCCACTTTCCTTCTTCCCTCCTCCTGCCGCCCCTCCCCCAATTCCATTGGATTTCGACGGCTCGTCTTTCTTCGCCGCCGAACCATCCCCTTTTCCCCCTCCGCTCGCAGCAGCAGCAGCCGCCCCAGCAGCACCGCTCCCCGCTCTTCCTCCCCCTCTTTGCCCCCCTCCTCCCGCTGCTGCTCCTCCTCCCGCCGACCCCGACGTGGTTGCCCCCCCTCCCCCTCCCCCCATCGTCGTCGCTTTCATCTGCGGCACCTCAAAGTCCGCGAGATCGAAGGCTTCCTCATCCACCCCAGGCGACCTTCCGTCGAGGCAACCAAATCGTCTGATAGTGCTGCGCTCATTGTTCTTCACGTACATCCGCCTGAAGTCCGCGTCCGTACTCCACTGCTCCATCCGCCTCTCCACCTGCTCCGAGCAAAACTCCTCGAGCCCCTTGATATCTCTCTCCGACGCTAAATACTTGACTCTCTGCAGCTCGTTCCTGTTCTTGTAAAACTCTCGATCTCTGGCGGCGGCCTGTTGTCTCAGGTTCTTCAGATGCTCGAACGCTGCGTCGTGCTCCTCCGTTGCATTCGTCCGCTCCAATAGCAACTGCTTTACCGCCTCCTCAAGCACTCGTGCCTCCGATTCAAACGTTTCTACGATCTTCTTCGCGGCGTCCTTCTCCAGCCTCAGCACCTGCCCCTCCGACTTGATGGGCTTGATCTGACTCTCGAGGGCCTCCCTCTGCACACGTGTCTCCTCGTATTTGCTCTGAAGGGCTACCATCGCCCGGACGTCGTCACGCGAGCTCTTGAGATTCTTGATTTCCCGAAGGATCTTCTTCTCCTCCTGGAGACTGATCGTCTCGTGCTCAATCTGATGCTCCAAATCAGCAATCCTCTGGTCTAATTCCTCTTCACTAGTTACCGGCACCTCTCGTCTCTTCTTCCTCGCCTCCTGGCCGACTACCTGAAGCTTCTGCAAGGAATTCAACAACGGATCCTTCTCCTTGTCCTTAAGCGACAGCTCCTCAAAGCACGATCTCAGCCGTTGCCTCGCGTTGCGCAGGTTATCGTAGGCTTCCGTACGCGCCGCTTGCTTCAGCCTCAGCGCTGCGCGTATGAACTCTAGCGCCTCGCGCTTCTGCCGCAGCTTCAGCTCCGCCTCCCGTTGCTCTGCTGAGCCAAGGTTCTCGTCGCATCGTGGCACTTTGACCACGTAAAACGTCCTGACCGTGGGATTACCCCCAGCGGCGGCGGGAGCAGCCGCGGCGGTGGTGGCAGAGGCAGCAGCCGCACTGTTTGGCTCCGCCGCCATTTCTCCGCCCGCGCTTGCTGTAGTAGCGGCTCCAGATGATGACGCGTCCGCCGCCGTCGTCGTAGTAGTAATCGATAGCACCGCCGCGACGCCTTCCCCCCCTTCCAGCCCCGCCCCTTCCGCCGCACATTCATCCCCACCAACGACTTGCTCCGCTCCCTCTCCCCCTTCCCCCCCCCCCCCTCCTTCCGACCCGCTTACTTCTCGATTAGCCTGGTGCTCCTCCCCTTCATTCCCCCCTCCGTCCCCGAAGGATCGGCAACCACGAAGCACATCCACCTCGCCATTGCCCTCAGCCACGTGGCTATCTGTCAACGAACTGCCATCCCCATTGGCCGCCGAGTCCAGAATTGACCCCGGGCCATGAGCGCCATCGCCGTCCAGATCTCGTTTGCCCCCCATCACTGGCGGCGCTAGATCACCACCTTCGGTACCTCTCCCCTCTCCCTCCTCCGCGCCGTATGTCGCCTTCTCTTGTTGGCGTTCCGTCTCTGTCATAGCCACAAAAGTGGCGGGAAAAAGGAGCCACGTGGACGCTCCTCAGGCGATGTCCCGAAACAGCCCCACGTGCGAGCGACTAATACTCGCAGCCACAAAATTTGGCGGGAAAATTGAGACGGCGCGTGGACCCTCTCCCCGCTGACCAACCGGTAAACCTAAAAATGTATCAGAGACCGCAGCGCGCTCAGAGTGAACGTGTGTTCTGTAAAGTGCGCGCGTCTGCGCGCGCTTTGCGCTCTCCCGCCACACTACAGTGCGCGCCCGACAGAACTGCCGCCGGCTGTCAACGACCAAGCAGCCAGAGACTGCGGAGGAGAGAAGATGGGAACGTTATGGTATATATAGACCAAGTGTGCCAATCACGAACCGCTGGGCTGCACAGCCGCAAAAGGGGGAGGGACAAGGGCAGGGTAAGCTCCCCCCCCAACACTCACTCACTTGCCCAACAGCTGAGAGAGGGGGGGAATAGCTTGTCAAAACAAACGAACGGCAGACCTCCCTCCTGAGGTGATACCAACCGTTTCGATGGGCACCCTCTTCTCTCACCGCATGATAGAAACCAGCAGCAACGATTCCACTACCAGCAAGCACCGTCCCCTCTTCCTCTCTCCTTCCTTCTCTCTTTCTTCCTCCCCTCTTGTCGGCAGGGAGCAAACCCTCGTGCCCGCGCACCGTGCAACCTTCTGTCTCTACGCACGCGCGCGTGACCGAGGTAGCTACCGCACCATCACCCTATCGTGATGGGAAGATGACCAAAATTGGCCTCGCCACAACCGCTCACCTGACGATGCCGACGTCGGCAACGCCGCAGTACTGATCACCTTTCGTGGGAGAGAAGGGATACCACACACGAAGCTCGGCGATGGAGGATGCAGATGGGGAGAAGGCGGAGAAGGCGGAGGAGGAGCAGACAGACTACCGTCGGTCCGTCGCCCGGGCCGTCGGTCCACTCTCAGCCTACACAATGCCTTCGCAGTAAACCAGCCATTATGCTCTGACAACACGGCACACGCAGATCACTCACTCCTAAACGATCCACACACGTTCAGCACGAGGCTACACGACGCTGCACAAAACTTTCTAAGGGCCTCGTCGCACTACTCGCCATCCGCCAACATTTTGATTGCATGTGGAAGTACTCTTGTCCAGATGCATTCGAAATCTTGGCCGATGGCGAGTAGTGCAACTAGGGCCTAAGGGCCTCGCCGCACCGCTCTCGAACTCGAAATTGTGAAAAAGTCAAAACAAAAATGTGGCGGGCGCATCTGGCCGTGTTCTAGGATGAAGTTCGTTCTCATTTTGCACATTTTCGAGAGTGGGGTGGCGATGGCCCAAAAGTGCGAATGCAAAGAGGCCAAGAGTCGGGGGGGGGAAGTTGGGTGCGAGTAACACGACGCGTGGGGGAGGCCAGACATGCCAGTTCCAGCGCAGATCAGGCGGAGACCCACCCTGCCATGTACGACAACCCTGCGCGGCGTCCTCCCTCTCCTTCCCCGCACCCGCGCTGCTCTCTCTGACGAAGTCAGTCAGACCAGGCGGCGGAAAACGAAGCAATGAAGAGGCATCCAAAGCCCAACCGCCGCACAGGAATTCAGATGTCCTGGGCGGTCGGTTCCGAACCTCCCAACGCGTGTGGGCGAGTGGTGCCCCCGCATATAACTGTTGATAAGCACACCTCTGTTCGAATCCCGCGGGGTTCAGGCGAACAGAGTGGGCACCCTGCCGGTCAGATGAATTGAAATGACTCTACCTGGGGCCGGTCGGTTCCAGGGTGATTTTTCCTTTGTTCTTTTGCTATCATCGAATCGAACTAACTGGCCCAGGAGCTAGAGCTGGTAGGTCCCTCTTGCACAGACAAATTAAGAGATATATATTGACCTTGGACAGCGAAGATCAACGGCCAGAATCTCTTAATCCGTGCAAGTGTGACCTTGCCCCAGGTAATGTGTACTGCGTGGGAGAGTGTTGGCCTTAGACACTGCTGTTGCTCGGTGGGGCTGGAGGAAGAACAAAAGGGAGGGGGGATGAGACAAATAGAAAGAGCGGGAGGGGGGAGGCCAGTAGCACCCCACCAAACCGCTGCGCAGCTGAAGATTGACTTACCGTGAAGGCACGGGTGCGCAGCCCGTAGTTTGTTTGTTTATGTGGTTCGGGAAGGGTACGGTAGTGATTATGCTGTATGTATGTTTTGTCATGTTCGCTATAGGCAACTCGAAGAGAGTGTGTGGGGGGGTCCCGGTTGGTGCTTTATTCACGATGTTCATCGGACGTTGGACCCAGTTTCCAGCAGGTGGCGCTCCCCATCAATAGACAAGAGAATGTATGTGCGCGCGCGCGCGTGTGTGTGTGTGTGTGTGTGTGTGTGTGTGCATGTGTGTGTGTGTGTGTGTGTGAGAGAGAGAGAGAGAGAGTG